GAAGATTCATGAAGATTTGACAATCTTTTTTTTCTTTTTGTATTTTTTTAAAGGAATTAATTGACTTTCCTACTGAATTATTTCTAACTAATTAATTATTTTTAAATATAAAAAAGGAAATGCATATTAAAATACTTATTGTATTCGAATTAAATATTAAATTATTATTTTAATATTTTTACAATCATTTTAAAAAAAAGTGTAAAAAAAAGAAATGTAAAAAAAAAAATGTAAAGTATACAGTAAAACAATTTTGAAATCTATACTACAATGTTACAATATCAATGCAAAAATTTTATAGGAAAATTATTGAGAAAAAAAATATAATATTGCAAAATAAGTATGATAGAGAATATTTTTAATATGTGGATTTTTTCAAATATTTTGCATAAATAAATATTATAAACATATCATAAATATTAATTGAACAAAATAAAAATAAAAAAGATTTTCATAATTTAATAATATTGATTTTTATTATATTATAAATTTATTTTTATCATAATTAATATTTATAACTTTATTAATCTTAGCTGAAAAATAATATTAGCCAATTTCTTGGAATTCTCTTTCATAATTTTTATTTTTAAAAAATATATTTAAAAAGATTATATATAAAAAATAGATAAATAAAACGTATTAATATAATAATAGATTTTAAAATATTAAATGCTATATTTCGATAAAAGATACTATTAATTGATGAATTATATTGTTATATTATTTCTTTTATGCTAAAGGCATAAATTGCAATTTAATAATTTATAAATGTTTATATTTTATAAAATATAGTAAGATATTAATTGAATACAATTTTAAAATATAATATAAATTTTTTGAAATGTTATTTTATTTATTTTAAATTTCAATTTTATTATGAAACATTATCGTTATAATATAACATTTTATCATTGTAATCTAAGTTAATATCTTATAAAGTCTTCTTACTTAAAGTAAGAATTTATAAATTCATATTTCCAACGTAAATACGATATTGTAACGTTTAAAAGATTTAGGAAAACGATGAATTTTATAAATAAATAACATTGAAGTTCAATTCGCGTTTTTCTTTCTTAAATATATATAAAATGTTTCATATATATAACTGGGGATTTCTTATAAAAAAATAAAATGAAAAGAAAAAATAAAATTTTTTCACTTGAAAATTCGGTTCGAATAATTCGTTTTCGAATAAATCAATTTTGAAAATTTTTTAAATACAAATGAAATAACTAATTCCTAATTAAATATGAATAAATTATGTGTAAAAGATTAAAATTTGTGAAATTTCATATATATTTCTTAAATGATTGTATTTTATCAAAATTTTGAAATAATTATAAATTCTTAAGGTTAAAAACTGAATATTTACTTTGTATATTGAGTATATTTATAAAAATTTTTTTAGTATTGATTCTAGGTATCGAAATAAATACGAAAATTAGTATGCAAAAATTTTAATTCAATTTTATTTGATACGTTATGAGCAATTTAATTTTATGCTAAAAACGCCTGTAAATTGATAAAAGCATGTTAAAAATATCATATTGTAGTGACGTTAGTATAGTAATGACTTTTCAAAGAAAAATTTGCAAAGGGTAATATATGTGCTATATTCAAAGCATTTCAAATATATATAATTAATTACAGAATACAGTGAGTATATTGTAACACACAAAAGATTGTATATTATTACGAAAGAAGAAATTTATATAATGGTTTTTCTTATAATAAAGTTGCAGCCAATATTTGCATAATTCATATTTGTGTAATTACTATTGTATTTTGACAACTGTGTAAATATCAAGTGTTTATTAAGATAAAAAACAAATTAATCTGTTCATTTAATTCGCGTTTAATCGTCAAAATTATTTCGAATCCGTTGATATCTCCAATATACGATTATTTTTTTATTTTAAAATAATAACGAATCATAATTATTTTTTAAAATATAAGATATAATAGATAAAGAGAAAACGTTTAAATATAAAAAAATATGAAATCTGATCTCAATTTCCGTTTAAGACCGTGACATTATTTTACTAAACTGGTTAATATCGTAGAAAAATGATTTATAATATTGAACAAAATTCTTCACATTTATTTATTACAATATTCTTTTTTGAATAATATATAATCTTCCATTTTAAAAGAATTTTATTATCTCCATATTCTTCCTCTTATGTACAAAGTTCAATTAACTCAGTGAAAGTACTTGTTGTTGGCATATGTATACATAATTTAAGCGAAAATTATTCTTAGTTTCTCTTTTTATTGATTATGTGATTTTTTTTAGTGAGTTATTGAAAAAAACGAATTGTGAAAATATTTTCATATAATTTTCGAAAAACAAATTTATTAGTTAATCAAATTTGTATTTCTATTCCTTAATGTAAAGATATTTGCTGACAATCACTTTATGAAAGTGAAATGACAACGATTAATATGAACATATGAACGTGTAATTTAAATGTAATTCATTAAAATATTCACTTTCTTATTATTAAGTTTAAAATGAAATTAATTTATAAAAAAAATTATAATATCGATTCGATTTTATTTTATTGTACGATGGAGAAAAATAATAAAATGTTGTTTAATTTTAAATTATATATAAATAATTAGTATTTAATAAATTTATAATTTTATAATTTTCATAATAAATTATTTTAAAATAATATTAATTCATCATTTTATTATGTTATATTACACATACATTAGAAAATATAGAAAAATACATATAGAAAATATGTATATGCATATGGAAAAATTATATTTTTATCATTAATGAATTGTTTCGATATCAATATCGATAGTAATATATCCAGTATATTTACCTTTTGATTTTCCTCCGCGTCATTGTCCGGATGATCTGAAAAACATTTCATAATGATAACATTCGTATAACACAATAACACATTTGTGATATTATTTTAAATTTTAGTTTTTAACTGCAATCTCTATTTATTGGTGATATTCTAATTAAATTCATTTAATTTAAATTATGAAAAAGATTAAATTTCATGTAAATAGTGATAATATATTAAAAATGCATATTTTTTAATATAATGATATCTATTTTATATATAAAATGTAAATAATGCTTATACTCTGATATATATCACAGATGATGATAAATATAAATAAATGAAAATAAGGATTTTTTTTAAAGAAAATTGATTATCTGTGAAATTAAAGTATCGTTTATTATTATCGCAATATATTGTCGCAAAAAATAGTAAAAAGAAAAGTAAAATGTTATTTTAATTATTAATATTGAGAAATCGTTGTGATAATTTATTTTTCTTGAATTAGGTCACGATTCAATCAAACATTCAATTAAACTGAGAATAAACGATTTGACCCAAATTGCTCTGTCAAATATCGCATTAAAACTTATCAATGAACATAGTTTAATATCAATGAAATAGTTTAATTTTAAGCAAAATTTTTTAATATAATAATTTTTTATGTTTAATTCAAAATTCAGCCAATTCAGTCAATTCAATTTAAAGAAAAAAATTTAATTTCTGGTAAAATTTTTTTGTTTATCAAAATTTCATCATTACATCATATATGTTCTTTATTCGTGAAATATAATCAAAAACACTCGAATTAATTTTTGATGAAGTATCACATTATCGAAGTTTAAATTCTTATGATATATTTTTTAAATAATATTTGATATTTATTTATAAAAATATTTAAATAATATTTTATTTAATATTATTTATATAATTAATAATAATAAAATTAAATTACTCAAAATTTGTATTTAAATATAATAAAAATGTTATGTTAGAAATTATTCTATAATTTTAATTTTAATTAAAATATAAAACATTTTAGAAAATTATAATATTTTTTCTGATTTTGAATTTTCAAATTAATATAATATATGAATATATAGCATATGGAGAATAAAATGATTCTTAAAACATAAATATTTAATATAAATATACCTTGTATTTCGTTGATAGAAATTTTTCTTTCGCTCATATTCACTTCGTAATTTATTAAACTTGTTTCTATAATGTTAAGTCTAATACTGATTTACTTTTTCAATTATATTATCTTTTTACGACTCTCTGGTCTTATCAAAACATATAAGCTAACAATTAATTCTGAGGACGTTTATCATGTTCGATAGAATCGAAAATTAAGATAGTAGATGTGTTTGATAGATAGATTTGTCTAACTACATAATAAAATACATAAATTTTTCGTGAATAATCAAACGAAAAGCAAGATATTATTAAAAGATAATGAAAATGAAACAACTTATAGATGATTCATTTTCTCTGTGTTATATTGAATATTCAAAATATTTGATTAATTAAATCATTATTGATTTATTCAAATAATTTTTATTTTACTTTTAACTTTACTTTTAAACTTATTAAAAGTAATCAGAATTATTATATACATGTACAATATTATAAATGAATAATAAGAAAAAAAAAGCAATTATTTTAAAGTTATATTTAAAAATAAATAATTGTTAATGTTTTCATTTCTTATTTTAAATATTAATGAATATTATCAAAAATATTTTATCATTAGATAAATCATAAATTATTTTATGATGAACATATATTAAAATGAAAGTATATTAAATTCACTAGATGCACTGAAATGCAACTAAATAAAATGCGACTAAATCTGAAAATGAATTATGATTTTTTAATTGTTTTTATTATATTTTTATTATATATTATAACAAAATTTTAATTATAATAGTAAAGATATTAATAAAATTAATAAAATTTATTATAATATGAATAGTTGTTAAAATATAATTATATATATTTTAAAATTTATTAATATTATATACGATTCTGTAAAATTTAATGTATTGATAATCATACAATATTCTTTCCTTAAAAAATTTAAAAAATGAATTTTAAAAAATTCAAGCTGATCGTATGAAAAATTTGATTCAACTTTATGATAATTTATAATAATTGTATATAGTGAAAATCATCAAATTTCGAACAAATAGAATTGCGATATGCGTTGATACATATGCGTTAAGTGACTATTGTCACGTTGCGTGCTGCTCAAAGAAAGTAACGGTATACTTCTAGAGCTTTCACGTCGTACGCCATCGAATTTGTGATTCTGGATCTACAGTTTTACAGGAGAGGCTCGTCGCTACATACAAAGACGAGTTATTGTACTCAGTTCACATTATGGGGTTCGATGTGAACCGCTTTCAAGGAGAAGTTGATGAAGAATTAGTTTGTCCAATATGTTCTGGAGTCCTTGAGGATCCTGTGCAGGTATTATTTCTGTTTCGTCCATTTATGATTAAATACTTTTAATAAACTAGTTTTGTACATTTACACAAATCTAACCTAACTTTTTACCGATTTACTTTTATCATTTTTATGATTATTGTATTTTCCATTGATTATTAAATATTGTCAAATGTGTACCGATGATTGTTTTTATATATTGTATTCAATAATTTAATTTATAAAAGATATTGATTAAAATATTTAGTATTGATTTTATAATGTCAATCGCTTAAATTTTTACGACTTCCGTTCTGTCAAAATGTTTATAAATATTACTATTTTGATTTTATTTATTATGAATAAGATTGATATAGATTTTTTTAATAATTTTATTTTAGTTTTTAAGAAATTATATAGAATAATATTTTATATTCATTATATATTTTAAAATATAATATATAAATTTAATATCAAATTCTGTAAAATATATAGCTTAGCTTAAAAACTGGTAGGTGAACAATATGTTGCAGGCACCTGTATGTGAACATGCCTTTTGTCGTACATGTATTAATGAATGGATAAATAGACAACCTACCTGTCCACTGGATCGTACACCAATTACATCTGCTCAGCTTAGAGCAGTTCCAAGAATACTTCGAAATCTATTGGCCCGCCTTTGTATTAGTTGTGATAACATCATGTATGGATGTCAAGTCATAGTTAAGCTTGACAGTTTAGTGTCACATTTGGAGCAATGTGAATATAATCCTAAGAGACCAATGCTTTGTGAACAAGGATGTAGTCTTATTATTCCAAAAATGAATTAAAAGATCATAATTGTGTGAGAGAACTTAGAAACATTATACATTCCCAACAACAAAAACTTGCTGATATGAAACGTGAATTAGGTGAACAACAACTTCAAATAAATGAACATAAGAGAGAAATACATCTTTTAAAAGACTTTATGAGAGCATTGAGAGTTTCAAACCCTGCAATGCGTGCAATTGCTGATCAGATGGAGAGAGACGAAGTTGTAAGATGGTCTGCTACTCTTCCTAGAGCAAGAGTAACAAGATGGGGAGGAATGATTTCCACTCCTGATGAGTTATTACAGGTACTTAATAATAATTTATAAATTTATATTATTAATTAATTCTATAAACTAACTAAACATAATATTACAGACTATGATAAAAAGAACTCTATCAGAATATAATTGCCCACCTCATGTGATTGATGAATTAATGGAAAATTGTCATGAAAGGAAATGGCCTCCAGGATTAAATTCCCTTGAAACCAGACAGAATTCTAGAAGACAATATGATAATTATGTTTGTAAAAGAGTCCCTGGTAAACAAGCAGTGTTAGTTCTTTATTGTGATAATACACATATGCCAGAAGATATGATGGTTGAACCTGGATTAGTGATGATTTTTGCACATGGCATAGAATAAAATTTTCTATCAATGTACCATGCATGCCAAGATATTTTGATGTCCATTTTTTTTGTTGTTTGTTATATTCATCATGATTAACCTTGAAAATGCATGGAATATCTTAGTACTTATATGCAGATATTGGAATATTTGCATAATTTATCTTGCAATTATTGCAGGATATCTTTTTAAAAGTATTGAAAGAACAAATGACATGCCTCTTGTGATAAACAATTGTACAGACGCAATTGCCACACACAAAAAACTAATTGAATGTCTGAATCATTACACTGTGATATACTATTTCATTGAGAAATTCCTGAAATTGCGTGATAAATAGTAACTATTTTTTTTGCGTAATTCCATGTACATTTTTATAAATCGAATTTTTTGTTTATCATCTGATAAACCAACTATTTGTCGACTATTTCAGGAAATTTTTTACATATAGAAGTCTGTAAGTGTTTTATTATAATGCTTTAGAAAAGTAAGAAAGAAAAAATATAGAAATTATCAATATGGTAATTGCTACTATTAAGATTTGAATGTGTTCTAAAAAATAAGTATCAAATATCAGAATGAAGAAAAATTTCTTCTTTTCCCAACATTATTTATATGATTTTAATAAAACACCTCAAAGTGCATATGAAATAAACATCCTATACAACGATTGTTTGAATAAATTAATATACTCTGAGCGAACATATATATCATTTACAATTTATACAAGATAAGAATGCTATTTTCACAAAATAATACAAATATTAGTTTAAACTAATAACATATGATAAATGAAATTAATGAGCTTGAATTTTTTTAATATCATTTCTTTTGAAATTATATAAAAAAATATGTATAAAGAATTAGTGTAGAACATTCGATCCTTTAGCTGTTTTTAAATAAATATATAATAAAGTTCTGCTTTTTTGTCTTTGCACAAATGCATTAAAAATAAGTTAGTTTTTTTTAAATTGCATTATTTACCTTTGAATGTAAGATTTTTGTATAACGCAGCTTCTTATCTTAATATACTAATACATGAGGCAATATTACATATTTTATTTTGGACATTAATGTTAATTATGAGTTATGTTTACATATAATTCTTTTTATCTTTATTTATATAACATTTTTCAATAGCTTTGAAAGTATAGAATTTTAATACATTGAGTACTAAGTACATTTTGTAGTCACACATACATTTTATAATAAAAATCATAATTTTTTATATTGGATTATACACATATATGTATATACATACATTATTTCTATATACATAATATATTATATGTTTATATGTATATGTTTAATTATTAAATATTATTGACTTTCTTGATAATATTGAAAAATAAAATGATAAAAAATGTTTTTAATACAAATAGGAATTAAAAATTTTTTACAATATATTATTATTAGCACTCAATGCATTAAATATTGAAAATTATTTTTTCTCAGAGCTTTTTTAACGTAAAAGATTGTACACAATTTTATATACAAATTGATAGTTGTTATATCCATAATAAATTTGATTTTATGTATTGTAAATCATTTAATATAATAGTTTATTTTACATATATTCGCGCTTGCTATAAAATTTTCAGGATCTAGCGTCGGTGTGTTATCAAGAAGAATGCAATAAAATGCAATAAAATGACAAAATAAATGAAAAGTGTTATATTATCACTATATATGAATAACGTAAATTTAAAAAAAAAAGGATATTGTAAATACTTTTATTTAATTTGTGTTTTAATTTTTCTAAATATTTTTATGTTTACAAAAAAATACAAAATCTTCTAACAATACTATAGATATACTTATGATTTTTATTGATATAAGATAATTTTCTTTGGTTATGTATTACAGTGCATTTTGAATCATTGACGTATCATCTTCGTTTCAAAAATTTTTGATTTCCTTAATATGAATTATAACTTAACTTATTCGAGTGTTTAAATAGCCATTGATGGATGCACAGTAGGGAATACGTTCTATTTTCCACAATAGAAGTGGAAAAACCGACGTTCAGTCTTTTGTGCATTGGAATAAAATTCTACTTATTGAAAATTTCATTTTTTTGCATATTTGTCGAAAATTTATATTAAAAGATATATAATTTTTTCAAAATTTTAATATATCGATGGCTGGACCCTGAGATATGGCACTTAATATCCGATATTTTTAATTTATTTTCAATTATTTTTGAACAACTATCTTAGATACTTAAAATACTAATATAACATTTTCATAAAAATGAGTAGAAATTATGTAACATTGTATTTATAATTTTTTTTTTTTGATGGCACTTAAAAATGAATTGGAAGACTATTATTAAAAAAGAAAATTACAACATTACGTTAATTAATTTTAAGTGCATTTTCATAATTGAAATTGTTAAAAATTATATCGTTGAGCATATGCCTGTTATAACATGTCCGTGAGCATGCTCAGGATCTAGATTTATAGATTTCATGTTGATTTGAATTTTAGTAATGCAGCCAACATATTGTGTTTGCGAAATACTTCCCCGTAATCTCTTTCCAAGCAATGGATGTCCACCGATAAAGATCTGATGGCTCATGAGACTTCCCGCTACATTTTTACCGCCAATTCCTGGCGCGGCTGCTTTATAATCTACTGATAAGAGTACGACATTCTTCTGTTTAACAGCTGTACAAAAAATATATTAAATTTATTTTCATTATTTTTTATGAAAAGAAAACAAATATATATTAGTAATATTCCGTTAAATTTTAATATTCCATTTCATTATTTTTTATCAATTATTCAATGTTTTAATTTTAATAAATAATATTTTAATAATAATTTTAATAATCATAATAAATAAGAAAAGAAAATAAAAATAATTAGAAATAGCATGCCACAGTACTGATTATGAAAAAAATGATATAAAAGTAATTATAGAATAAAAATAATTATGCAATAAAAAAATTATTTTTTGTACTTTTCATCTCATATCATTAGTTAGGAGCAATATTAATGGATTATAAAGATTCTTTTGATTCTATATCCAAATGAATATAAATCGGATTTATTTTAATAATCTAGTTTATAAATATAATTTTACTAATATATATATTATTAATAGTTATCTATATAACTGATATGATTTATCAAACGATTATTAATAAAATTTTTAAAATTATTAATAAAAGTTAATAAAAGTTCAATTTATATTATATTTGAATTCATTACATGGATTAATCTCAACAATCTATTAGCATTGATATGTCCATTAGAATCTTCATAAAGATGAAAATCATCGAAATTTTTTATCACATTTAAAAATTTTTTTATCACATAATTATTATTATTATTTTTTTATTCTTTTGACATGTGTTTTCAATCATTGCATCATTAACTAAACATATTGCATTTATTTCATATTGCCCTAATTAAATTTTCTTATTTCATAGAATCAATTGGAAGAAAAATTCTATTCTGTATCTTTGTGCTTATTATTGAATTCTGATCTTATTAAAATTTAATCGTATATTACTAATAATATTATAATATTGTAAACTAAATTTAAATATTACCTCGAATATTGTGCCATTTCCCATCGCACAAAGAATTCGAATATGTAGGTTCAAAAGAAGTTTTTATTAAACCTTTATGCGTTTTAACAAGGAATGTTACAGTTCCATTAATCATTTCCAAGATCAAATAATCTCGTTTCCCACCAATATATAATAAGAGACCGGAAGTTGAACGAGGTTTAATCTCCATTTGAATGTCGACTGTTCTGCCAATACCGAAATTATCCACTAGAATAATATTTTATAATTAAAATTCGTCATATCAAATTTTAATAATATTTAATCAATTATTTATCAGTATGTGATACGCACTTGGTTTATATAGATTGCTACCATTACCCGGGAAGAAGAATAATCCTTCTTCAACTTGTTTTGAACATGGAATTACACCAACTTTATTTGTAGGCTCACTAACTGGTTGTCCATTCACCATAAAGTTTCCTAAACATCCTTTAAATGTATCGTTCATACCCTGAGAATAATTTTTAAAAAATTGTTAAAAATTGATACAAATATAATGTATAATTAAATGTATAATTTATATATTAATTTACTCACAATCATATCAAGAACTTTACTAGACATATTTTGAAGTACTCCTCCTACATAGAACGGAGGGCTAACATTTATAACTTCTATCGTTCCTTGAGAATATCCTGTAACTGCTTTATCTTCATCAACAATTAATTGTCCATAGTTTCCTTTCCTTTTAAATATCACGATATGCCATTTGTTGTCATTTATTTTCGTCTCGCTAATTAAGAGAGCTGGTCCACTTCCACAATCAAACTTATAATGCAGCTTAATAAAAATTTAAAATATGTGAAAATGACATATACAATTTTTTAAATTCTTTATACACAAATTAATAATTGTATTAAAAATATTTTAGAGATCAATTTAAATTATGAAAATTTGATTGATGCTTTTTCGAAATTTTATCTCAAATTAATATTTTACCTTTCCATTATTGACATACAAAGCTATTAAATTCTGGTTAGTATGATCCGCCGTATAGAAAATGATTCCATTATCGGCCATCGTTTTGATATCGATTTGGAAATCGTAATCATTCTTATATCTGCCGTTTAGTGATCTGTATTCCAATCTACTGTTTCTTGCGGTGCCTATAAGTCAAGTATTTTTTAAATTAAAATTTATTATTTTCCATTTGATCTAAAATATCATCACGATAATATCATACCGAATCGCCAAGCATTTTCCATATCAGGATCTACAGTGGGATAATATGGCAATTGACATTGATCGACATATAATGGAGTCGTTCTCTGAGTTGTAGTAGTAACTTCAGTAGTTGTAGTTAATTCATCATGATAATTAGGAAGACGTCCCTCAATCGTAGGTTCCTCTTCATCCGTTCCCTTATCTAAATCGACGTCGATAATATCTAACGAAATTTAATAGATTACAGATTAGATTACTTTATCGTATTCATTATTTTATTGCTATAATATTATACTCACTAATCTGAGTAGATATTTCGACATTGTCGTCTGGATTTTCTGTAGGCAATAGAGGTGGAGGTACATCTGGTTCTAACTCAGGTATATATGGTGCAACTATGAATAAATATACGTATATTAAAATAATGCAAATAATCTTTCGACTAATATTATAATTATATATTAATTATACTAATTATTAATACATTATATTACTTTGTGCAAAATATACTAAAATATCTTTATCAAGGAAATTTTTTTGGATTGAATTAAACAAATAATATTACACCGAAACAATACAATATATTTTTTGAATTCTTTCTTTTCGTCTTTCAATAGCTGCCATTAGAACTCAGATCGATACCAATTGATGATATTTAAATAATTCGATATTGATATTTTTTAAAATTATTCTAAAGGAATATTATAATAAATCAAAAATCGTTCGATATTTTATGCAGATAAAATATACTTATTTGATATTTTTGAAATTTTTAATTTATATTATATTGATATTCATTTATTCTAAAAAAAAAAAATAAATTTTTGAAAATGATTCGTGTATTTTTAAAAATCGGAAAACTAATAAATAAAAAGAATAAATAAATAATATCATAAATAAAATATTATTTCTAATGTCTATTATATAATTATCTAATTTTATGAATAATATAATGTGTTATGTATTAAAAAAACATTAAAATTATAATGAATTGTGAATTGAATTTTATAAATTTGATTTATATATTTATTTTATATACATGAAATACTTGAAAGAATTAAATGTTCTTATTTTATTATACAAAGATTCTGCAAAAAAATTTAATATTATTTTTTAAAATGAAAGTTATATTATTAAATATATATCGAAATCTTT